GAGCTCCTGGCCTCCACCTCCCCCAAGCAGCAGCTCCCTCAGTTCAGCGCCGCCTTCGGGCACCAGCTGAGCTCTCACAGTGGCATCCCCAAGGACCTGCAGCCCAGCCACAGCTCCATAGCTCCTCCCACGGGCTTCGCAGTGACCGGTGCCACCGCCACCAGTACCAATAACGCATCCGCGCCCTTCACCACCTCCAACTGAGCTTGTCTGCCTGGCTCTGTGCAGGTAGATGGGGGACCTGTGTTTTCTGTCTTTCCTTTTTTTTTTTCCTTTTCCTTTGTTTTTTGTTTTCTGTCCTCCCTTCCCTTCTTTTTCAGAGGGGGTTGAGAAGAAGACCCCTGCTTCAGTACTGACCAGGGTTAGCCCTCTGTGAACCTTGCTGTAGCGTTCACATGTGCTTGTTAGGCACCGGTGCTCATTTCTTGCAGGCAGGTTCACCATTCCCCAGTTGTTCCTTAAGGACACAGCACAGTTACTGGATGTCACTGACCTTAGCAGTAAGACCTAGAAATGGGAAGATACCTCAGATTACTGATGCATGTTACTGTTTCCTAGGGTTCGGATCAGTGCTCGCTATCCCATTAGCATCTGGTAGAAAGTTTTCCAGTGGGCAGAAGCCTCTTGAGTTGTTTTTTTTTTTTTATATGCTTTTTTTCCCCCCCCCAAAGGTAGCGTCTGGCATGGAAAACGTGGCTGCACCCATTGGTTTGAGAATGGTGCACTGAAGTCCTAAGTCAAGATCATGGTTCAAGGATGAGTTTGGCAGTTTCTTAAATAGTCTCTTGATCTCCTCTGTGTGCATGTGTGTGTTTGGGGTGCAGGGAGCAGCAGTTCCTTTTCTTCTTTTGGTGAAGAAGTGGGAGTTGTCCCCTTCCAGAGCTGGGCACTGTTCTTACTGCATGCTGATTTTTTTAAAATTTTTTTCTTTTTAATTATGATGATTTTAAATTCATGGAGCAGCGAGGGAATCAGTTGACTGGTTGCCCAGAAATCTGAAGGCTGAAACCAAGTTAGCCTAGGGGAAAAAAAAACCAACAAAACAACAAAAAAAGAAAGAAACCCAGAAGGATTGCAATAGATCATGGATTAGTGAAGATTCCTGTGCAGAAATTCCCTCCCTTGCTGAATTACTGTGGCCTTGTAGCATTGATGATTTGCCTTTTCAAGTGTGGCTGTGTCCAGAACTCCTTGCCTGACAGGCTGACAGGTATTTCCCAGCTGAAACTGGAAGAATTTGGCTGATGTTCTGCCCATCCACACAAGTCTAGGTCAGACCTTTGGTAAGTTTGTTACGGAGGCATTTCTCAAATTATGTCTAGCTACTGAGAATTTCTTGGGTAGTTTTCCCCCTGGTAGCCATATATTATTTTTTTTCTACACTTAAAGGCTTTGATGCTCTGTATGGGAAGCTGAATGGATGTGAGGAGCTGGGAGGAACCTATCAGCAGTCATGGCTAACCAAAAGAGAACTCACTAAAGCAAATAAGTAAGAATTCCTCCTGCCTGCAGGACGGGTTTGCTTTCACTGCCCATCTGCTGAAGATCGTGTCCAGACTCTGTGGTAGTAATTTCAGTCTTGAAAGAAATGAGTCCACTAGCTTTTAGATTTTTACATTTTATTTTATTCCAAGAGATAACAGCAGCAGAAATTCTGAGGTGTTTACTTGCCTCTTTTTATCAGGAAGGGAAAAACGGAGTTTGCTTGTGACTTTATAGGGCTCAAACTTGCTACTCTACTCTGACTGTAAAAGTAGCTCCTACTTCATATAACAAGTCTCTGCTCTTCTTGGTTTGTTTCTGCAGTGCAGATGGGAGAGAATAGAAAATACCACATTTCAGTCTCTTCCTGTAGAAGACAGATTTCCTTCTACCTTAGAGCAAAATGTCCTACCTGCATATATTCCAGTCTAATTCAGGAAATTAAGAGATACCAAGCACAGGTAATAGGGAGACCTAAGAAATTGTTTGAGCAAGGGATCATTGAATGGAGTTTAGTTGCTATGGGAATTCATTTTGTTAGCAGTCAGGCCCACCCCCAAATCTCTGACCCAAACCTCTCCTTCCATCTTGCTAAGGAACAGAATTTAAATGGGATAGGGCTTGTGTCTTCTTACTCTCATAGCAATCATACTATCCCACTTTTCTTGAAAGATTTGTCCTCCTTACATATAAAGGAGTATGGGTGATGCATATGTCCTTTTCTGAAAATGCAAGTGTATGTGGGTGGAGGAAACAAAAATGATTTTCATTCTTCTGTTGTTACCAGATCCTTATTTCATACTTGGTAAAACTGAGCTTAATAATATAAGCCGAATATTTTTAAGTGGTGATTTAAATATGTTTGTAACATTTAAATGTTTTTAAAATCATGTAAAAAAGTTGAATGGAAGCCTATGAAATCCTGCTTGTGATTGTCCTGCTGATTGAGGAATGCCCAGTGGTATTGTGAAATGAGGCAAATCTGACAAGGCATTTATTTATTTTTGTATTTTGTTCCACATACTTTGTTGAGGAGACAACTGTTTGATTTGCAAATGATTTTCCTTGTGTCCCTATACCTCCCTCAATGTGTTTGGGTGACTGGCTGAAAAAGAAGTGGAGAACTAGTATACCAAATGGTTAATTGCTTAATCTGCTTGTGTATTCATGTCGTTTTAGAGGATGTTAATTTCTATAAATGGGTTTCGGGACTTTTGGTCTTGAAATCATTCTTGTGCCCATGGAAGTTTTTAAGGAAGCTGTAGCTAGTGCAAAGTGTATTTGCCCCACGTCACATTTCTCTTTCTTAGCAAATGCTGGGGGGGAGGGAGGAGAGGAACTGAGAGCCACCTTCTGCTTGGTGGTGTTGGTGGAAATGGCAGAGGAGATCTTTGGTCTGAGGTCACTGTGAGCTCGTACTGGTCTAACTCGGCACAGAATCCAGTTCCTGGTCTGAGCATTGATTCAGACAGGGAATTTCAAAGGCTGTCAGAGCTGTGCAGGTCTGTAATTCCCATTTGAAATCAATGGCTGTTACCTACCTGTGTTCCTTTAAGGCAGCCTAGGGTATCAACTCTCTTCCCCGACTTAGACTTCAATTTTTGTGTATCCCTTGATGACTCTTCCCTGGAAAGTGACTACGTAACAGTTTTTCAATGAGCAAACTAAGTTTGCAATAAAGCTGCACTTTTACAAATAAACTTTGCATACATTTGAAATAGGAATCCCTCTGTCCTGTCTGACACAGAGTTCTGAAACAGGTCACCACTCTTGCCTTTTCCTGGTTCACCTCCCATTTTTTCACTGCCATGGATCTCATGGTTACAGCCTACCAAGCAGTTACGGGTCTTGATCTTAGCTTTACAAGGTGGATCATTCCAGGTGGGCTTCTACACCCACACAACCTGTTGACTTCAGTGAATCAGTGTCTTATTGTTGGATGGGAGAGATCCAACGTGAGAGGTATGTGCAAGCCAGAGAAGTTTCCCACTCCCTTCCTCTGGGCAGTGCTGCAGGTCTGGTTAAAGTAGTCCTCAAGGCTGTTGTTTATAGTTCCCGAGCAGAATCCATGCTCCTCTCACAAAGGTTTTTGAGTATCATCTTGTATAGCAATTAGCACTCTAATCACCCTTTCACCAAAGAGCCAGTGGAGCAATTTCAGTCCATTGATTGGAGGCAGTCGATACCTGTCGTGCCCTTCACATGTTAACAAATGGAGTGAAGCTAGTTGAACCTAAATGTTAATTTCTTTACATAAGATTTGAGTTCTAAAGAATTGAAAAATTAAAAAAAAAAAAAAAAGGCTTAGAATAAAATACCAGTGACATAATTTTTGGTGATAATAGCACCTCAATTAGTCTTTGTATAAAAGTACTTGACCCAAGATGAGTTTGGGCAGCGTGCAGAGGCTCATCAGGAACAGCCTTGTGCTGGCCTGATGGGTGAGGAATTCTGTAAGACACTCTTGGACGTTTCCTTTCACTTAGGAAGACTTTATGCCAGCTTTGAGGGGAGCCATATGCACTGAGCTACCTTAAAGCTGATTTGTTCTTTGGCTTTGTAATGACTATGATACAGAAAGATGCCCGTGTGATGCAAGCAGATGGAAAAGGTGCAGCATTTTGTCTCCTCTTACCTTCCAGTTCCTCCAGGTTCTTAGTTTCCTTAGTTACACACACGTGGCATTAGCCTGCTCCTCAAGTCCAGCTCCTCCCTGAGCTCCTGCAGCCTGGTGGCTGCTGTGTTTGCCTGCAGGCATCAGCAGGGCTCCTTCTCCCCTCTCTGCTGCCCTGAGCTGGATCCACTGGTGAATGCTCCAACAGTATCAGCCTTTGGGCAGGGAGGAGGGGAGTATTTTTAGAAGAGTTGAATTTCTCAAGACTTGCAGGGACAGTGGCAGGAAGTGCTTTCAGCAAAGAAACAACAGAAAACTTACCTGCAGTCATCTTTGCCAGTGGCATGTTTGTATGGGTGTCTGGGCAGCTTCCTGGTGGGATGTCTGCTTTTCCTTCTGTGTTTTCACCCTTCCATGTGAAGGAGTCTCCTGTGCAGGCCCATTGCAAAGTCCAGCGGTGGTGGAAATATTAACTGAAGGAATAGTTTTGGGCTAATGTGCTGACCAGATCTTTAGGTCTTTCTGATCTTTTACATAACATTTAGGCATGGGCTGTTGTGGGCTGCTTCTTGTGCCACCTTTCCCCCCCTCCCCACCCCTTTCTTTCCACATTCCTCACCATTTTTTCTTTTATTCTTGCCTTCTCTGATATTTCTCCAGTATGAGTAATGCCAGCCAATAAGTCTTCCATGGTCCTGAGCAAATCTGACTGTAAGATGAAAGGAGAGATTCCTGCAATTCACAACATACATTTTGGATGCTAGAACAACAGTGCAATAGATCAAAGTATTTCTCAGATCAGTGAGTAAGATGATGTTTCACAGCACGCCGACGTGTCACGAGCGAGGTGCTGAGGGTGCAACATTGATCTTGCACATACTGGAGTGGATGTGCAGGTATTTTTAGCAAGTTTATCTTCTCACAAATTCATCTTCTTTTGATTAGTGCATCAGTAGAAACCCACGATGATTCTTTTCTTTTTGATGCCTACGAGCCCTGGTAAAAGTAGGGAGGATTGGTGGGAAAATGTACATTTGTACTTACTAAATAAGAGAGGTCAGGTTGTGAGAGGCTTTAGTTCTGTCAGGTGAAGTTTTGGTTTTGTCTT